CGGGCCACCACTTCTGACTCCCCACCCACAGCCTTCCAGTGCCCTGCCTCAGGCTGGGAAGGGGACAGGCAGAGGTGGAAGTGAGGCAGAGGGGGCCTGAGGGTAGGCAGGCAGGCAGCCAGGGGAGGACACAGACACACCACTGTCCCCCTCCACAGCCCTTGCAGCACAGGTGGATCAGAGCCCCAGTTTGCTGAGTGGGCTCAGGTGCCTGCCTACCTAGGCAGGTGACCCTCGGAGAAACACTCCAAGCCCTTGCAGCCTCGCACGGGGGTGTGGGGTGGGTGGGGGGCTTCAGCCAAGTAGGCTGAAACCAGGACATGAGAGACAGCTGTTTGCTGAGGAGCAGGTGAGCACGCCACAGGCCTGGAGATGCTGTTATCAGTCCCATTTTCCAGAGAGTCAAGTTGAAGCCCAGCATGGGGGTGGGATTTGGTTCAGAGTCACCTACCTCCCGGTGCCTTTTACCCTGAAGAGGGGGCCAACAGACATTGTTCCTGACCCTCCCCCACTTCATCTCTTGAGGCTGGGCATGACACCCCCCCCTACCAGGTACAAATGAGGACACTGGCGCTCTGGCACCCTTTGATAGACGGGCCAGAGGGAAAACTGAGGTGGTCCTAAGCTGGGAGAGGGAGGTCGTGGGCAACTTCCACTCGGGCCTTATGCAGAGGCCCGTGCAGAGGCTCCTGTGCTTTCCGTGGGACCATTTGCCAGTGCCCCCACCAGCCCTTCTCGCCTCTGGTCTGGGCAGCCCCAGGCCGGGACAGCTGGGGTTTCACTTCTATTTTGGGGAGATGGCAAGTCACATGAGGTCCTCCCACTCTCCCCACCCTTCCTCTCTCCCCAAATGGCACACACCAAGGTTTCTTGTTTACCCAACTTGGACTCTGGAAAGAACGTGGAGCCCCTAGAGCTAGAGAGAAATGGGAAGGAGTGGGGTCCAGCCCGTGCACCCTCCCCCGCCCAAGGGTTTGGGGGGGCAGAGTTCCTGAGCAGCCGGGGGGCAGGGCCTGGTGGCGGTGCTGAGTATCAAGCTGTGTGACTGTGCTTTGGCCTCTCTGAGCCTCACTCTTCTGTAACCTGGGGTCTAACAGTCCCCACCACAGGCTGGTGGTTAGAGAAGGAGACTGAGAAAACCACTCAGGCTGCAGGGGGCCCCTGGGTGGGGTGTGGCTGCGGCGTGGTGGACACATACCCCTCCCTGGAACAGAACAAACAGGACTGCAGGAGGCAGGCACTGTGCTTATTAATATCGTGCCATGGATGAGATCGCCAAGGCACAGAGTGATTAGGTAACTTGGCCAAGGCACACAGTCAATGAGGGTACAGCTGGGATTCAAACCCAGGCCTGCACCTTGGACCAGGCGGGGGCTGGGGGAAGAAATTCAGGGTCCACCCGAGGGCAGGAGGTTGGGGTGGGGTGGGGATGGAGAGTGCGACAGGAGAACGTCACAGGCGAAGAGCCCAGGAGATGCTCAGATGCCTGTGTTGGCCGAATCCAAGGGCGTCAGCTCATTCGTGAGGGGTCCTCTTTGGGCCTTTCTCTGTGCTGCGCCCGTGTGAGGTAGGGGTGGGGGGAAGAGAGGTTTAATAGGAAGCCAAATAGATCTCTCCTCCCTGAAAAAGATTGTGTGTGTGTGTGAGCAAGGATGGGTCTGACCTGGGGGTCGGGGGAGGCTTCCCGAGGACAGGTGGAGAAAGCAGCAAGGACAGGCCCTGAGGCAGGAGGATGCAGTTCCTTGAAGGAGCAGGAGAAGCCAGGGCAGCTCAAGCTGGGCAGGGGGTGCAAGTGACAGGGTGTGGGTGCCAGACCCCAAAGGGCCTCAGGCAGATCAGGGACTCTGTCCAGAGACACTTTAGTGTAGGGTCACCTCTGTGCAGGGGTATCAGAGTGGGCAGGGTCCCTCCAGAAGGTGAATGGAAGAGCAGGAAGGACAGAGAAGCTGTAAGGACTGGTCCCTGAGAACAGGACCACCCCTGGGGGCTGCTCTGAGCCCCAAAGGCCCCACCCGCACTGGCTCCTTCCAGCTCCCTCCTGCCTCAGGACCTTTGGCCTTGCTGGCACCTCTGCTACTTCTGGATTCAGACAATGGGACCTCCATCCAGGGCCCCAGAGCAGGAACATCCCCACCCGCCACACCCCCTGAGGCTCCTCCAGCCGCCCAGTTCAGCTGTTGAGATTCAGGATAGTGGCTAATGTGGGACAGCTGGCTTCCTAACAGCCGGTGGACTCCCAGTGGGATTTTTACCTTCGTTTAGTCTGTAAATGAGGAGCAAGGCCCCGACCAAATCAAACTTGGAGTAGGTGAATTTTGTTGGAAAATTGGGCTGCGATCATGTTCTTTTTTGTAATAAAAGCTGGAGGGTCTGCAAAAACAGGGGTGGGGGGGCAGCTTTGTTGTGACAATTTTGTGGGGCTGGGTCCGTGAGCACACAGTGAGCCCCCACCCTGGGCCAGGCACCTGCTCCTTACAGCAGCCTGCGGGTGACACTCTCGTGATTTCCATGTTACAGACAAGAAGCAGGACTTAGAGAACACACATCCCTGGGCACGCAAATAAGGAGTGTTCTGACACCAGAGCCCTGGGTAGTTGGCACCACCGGTCAGATGATGTGTGTCCAGCACATCTTAGCCAGCGAAGCAGCTGCTGAGAAGCTGAGGGTAACTCCTGGACAAAGCTGGGTCTCAGCCTCTGGCCCGGCTGGGTCAGGAACCAGCTGTGGAAGCTGGGCATGATCCTGCACTGCTCAGAGCCTCCTTGCGAGGGTAACTCCTGGATGAAGCTGGGTCTCAGCCTCTGGCCTGGCTGGGTCAGGAACCAGCTGTGGAAGCTGGGCATGATCCTGCACTGCTCAGAGCCTCCTTGACAAATCTGGGATGCAAGGCCTGTGAGGCCTCTGCCCTGCCCTGCACTGCCTTCTCTGGGGCACAGAGACAGGAAGCCCTGCCCAGACCTCCATGTGGGGATGCTGCCTGGGGAGGGAGCAGCTGTTGGCAAGCACAGCGGTCCAACTCGCTAGCTCTGTGGTCTCTGGCAGAGGTCTTAGCCTCTCTGGGCCTTGGTTTCCTCATCTGCAAAATGGGCAGCCAGTCCCAGGAAAGGGTGGAATTAATGAAAGCAGACAAGAGTATAAGAAGCACAGTGGCTGCTGCCTGCTGCACGGTGTGGGTGGCAGCATGTAGCCAGCTGTCCCCTCCAAGCTGAGAAGTGTAGCTGCTGGTCTGTGGTGTGAGCTTTAGATCAGCTGGCCCTGGGTGGAAGGCAGCGTGCCACCCAGACCTGGTTCTCGCCCTGGGAGCTTGTGGCTGGCGGTGGGAACTAACAGGAAGGTGAATCAGCAGAGTGCTTGTGTGCAACTCTGCATGGGATGGGAGCAGGCCGGGGGGCTTCTTGGAGGTGGTGGCCTCTGAGTCAAGGCCCCGAGATGAATAGCTGCTTGCCTAGTGGACAGGGAGGAGAAGCATCTTCCAGGCAGGAAGGGCAATGGGTACCAAGACCCAGACACATGGCACTGTCTGGAGGGTCCAGTACTCTGTGGGGTTAGAGCTCAGGGTGCCCGGGAGTGTGGGGAGGGGCCATGTCTGGAGGAGCCTGGAATGCCATGGGCAGGACCTTGGGCCATATCGAGGGCAGTGGCCACCTCACAGAGCCCTCAGCAGGGAAGTGACTGGAGGGTGGGTGCAGTGGGGAGGTAGGAGGTGGGCTGGTGTAATCAGAGGTCTAGGCGAGCAAGGGAAGGGTGCGTAGAGAGATCTAGGAGGTAGAAATGGGTCGGACTTCAGGACTGAGTGGATTTGGAAGGTGAGGATGAAGTTTTCCCCAGTACTTATCAAGCTTTTCCCTTGAGCCAGAGACTGGGCACACAGTCACGAACAACACAGGCCCTGCCCTCTCAAAATCTGTACATAGCAGTGGAGACAAGTTAATCAAATAATCACATATACACACTGACAAATGCTGTGAAAGCCCATGATGGCCTGTAATCCGAAGGGAGGAACTGAGTGGGTGGGAGTGGGGGAGGGGCAGGGAAAACAAGCAGAAGATGGGGCATGTGCAAAGGTCCTGTGGGCCATGGCACCTTCCCCAGTGGAGCTGGGTGCAGTTAACACAGGGTGTGCAGTGCTCCGAGAGGTTAGGGGCCAGCTCAAGGGCACCTTGGATCTTGTGGTGAGGAAGGCTTTAGAGTAGGGGTCTGCAAGCTCTGGCCTATGGGCTAAATCTGGCCTGCTACCTGTTTTTGTAAATACAGTTTTATTGGAACACAGCCACGCACATTTCTTTGTGTGTTGTCTACGGCTGCCTTCACACCACAACAGCAAAGTTGAGTAGTTGCAGCAGAGACCGGATGGCCTGCAAAGCCTGGGAGATTTAGTCCCTGGCCCTTCGCAGTAATGCTCACCATCCCCTGCTTCAGAGGGTTTTGGTCAGCAGGGTGGGAGAGATAATCAGACTGGCACTGTTTGCACTCCCTCTGGCCTGAACATGGAAGCTCGAGGTGACACTGCTGCTGTGTAGGAACGCCATGATGGGCCTGAATTCGGGGGTGGCCGCGGAGGTGGGGGAGGGACCAGAGACAACACATGTAGAGCAGGCAAAGGTCAGCAGGACTTGGATAATCGGAGGTTGTCCCCCGGTTTCTGGCCTGGACATGGAGGGTTTAGGAGCACAGGAGAGGAAACAGAGTTTGGGCGCAGAGTGAGTGCGGGTGTGTAGGATGCATAGGAGCTTCCTGGTGACACAGGCCTGGGTCCCGGGAGGGCAGGGCAGGAGATGCAGGGTCTTGGGGTCTGAATGGGGGTGTGGACAGGGTCCTGCAGGGACGGCTGATCCCTGCCCTCTAGGACCTGCTCTCTAAGAGGAAGGACAGGCGTTCCCCATTCCTTGGTCAGAGCTAGAGGGGCTGGGCGGGAGAGAGGAGGAAGGGAGGCCTGGCGGGCAGTGGGGAGGGGTCTCGGGGCCTCTGGACAGCAATGTTCCTCTTCCCTCCACGTGCAGCATCCACGACGGGGTGATTGCTGTCTTCCAGCACAAGGGGCTGCCTGACCAGGAGCTCTTCAGCCTCAACGAAGGCGTCCGGTGAGTGCCTGCCGGTCCCCCGTTGGGCCTGGGTCTGTCAGTGGCAGGGAGGGCTCTGCCCAGGGTGGGAGACCTCGGCCAGGCCCCTGAGCCACCGGCCACGCTGGGCTCCACCCTTAGAGGCCATCCGCCAGCAGGAGGGCAAGGCTTGTGTTAGGCGGTGGCCACTGGGCCAGGACTTGGTCTCCCCAGCTCTGCAGGGCCTTGACCTCCACCAGCCACTTTCAGGCCTGGCGAGCCTGCGCCCCCACCCCTCCTGAGGATGTGCTTCATGGGGACACAGGGTGGAGCTGGGACAGGGGCTTGAGGTACACCCTCATTCCCAGCCGGTGTTGAGCACCATGAAGGATATTTATTCTGTTAAAGAGGAAGGACCCACCTGCCTAATGACTGGAGTGTCATTCCCGGAAAAGCAATTACAGCCGGCCAGACGCCCCTCATTTCCCGTGAGCAGCCTGGAAGTGAGGGGCTCTGAGGTAGCCGGGGATGGACGGGCGCCCTCGGAGGCAGTTTGTAGTGGCGAAGGCTGCAGCTCAGAGAGGTCGGGAGACTTGCCAGAGTCACACAGCTGCCACGAGGAGGCGTTTCCTTCCTGCCCTGACCCTTGCTACTCTGCCCCTGTGTCAAAAGGATGTCTGGGAAAAGAGGCAGTTAAATCCCTCTTGTTATTCGAGGCGGGAATCCCAGAGGAAGCCAGACAGGGCCAGCTTCTCATCCATGGGCACCCCCCGCCGTGTGGCAGAGATGAGCAGGCCCTTATGTAAGGATGAATCCTCGATGGCCTCGACGTTACTTGGGGCATCGTCTTTTGAGCCAGTCCAAAATTAGGTGCCAGGAATGTTTAAGTAATAGTAACAGGGTCTTTTTACTGAGGCCTTGCTCTGTGCCAGTCTTGGGCCGAGAGTTCTCCACACCTCACACCCATCTGCTGTTCACTGCAGCCCTGAGGGGCAGGCGCCTTACTGTGTCCATCTTACAGATGAGGAAACCGAGGCACAGAGCAGTTGAGTGGGTCACTTGCGGTCACAGGACTAGCGAGTGGAGCAGGATCCTGACTCCAGGCCTGTGGGTCCTTCAGAACTGCTCCTCATCCCCACCTTAGCTCTTCTCCACAACATTAAATTTGTGGCCACATTAAATTAAATGAAGTTAATTATGCATTAAATCCATAATTGGTCACCAGCTCTGATCCCATGAGAGAGCCCTTGACTGGAGCCATTGATTACACCAGCATCTGAATGTTCCTCCTCAGTTCTTAAGGCTGGTTAGTGACAGTCCCTCATCCGTGCCCAGGCATGGGTTAGGGGGTGAGGCCCAGGATGGTGAGTAGCAACTGGGGACTTTGACATCTGGCTGTGTGTGTGTGTGAGTGTGAGGGAGAGAGAGATAAAACTCACATCCCATAAAATTCTCCTTTTAAAGTGTACAGTTCAGTGGTTTTAGCATATTCACAGGTTGTACAACCATCACTATTTACTTCCAGAAAGAAAGCCCATTAGCGGTCACCCTCCATTACCCCCTCCCCCAGCCCTGGCAGATCCCCGTCAACTTTCTTTCTCCATGGATTTGCCTATTCTGGACATTTCACATAAGTGAAATCACACAACAGGTGGCCTTTGGTGTCTGGCTTCTCAGTGTAATGCTTTCAAGGCTCACCCATGCTGCGGCACGTGTCAGTGCTTATTCCTGCTTATGGCTGAATAACATTCCATTTTGTGGAAAACACACCATTTTGTTTATCAGCTTATCTGTTGGTGGCCATTTGGGTTGTTTCCACTTTTTGCCTTTATTAATAGTGCTGCTGTGGACATCAGTGTACAGGACTGCGTGGACCTGTGTTCCCACTTCTCTTAGGAACTGAATCGCCAGGTCACGCGGTCAGGCTGCAGTGCACGAACTTCTCCAGGAGCCGCCCAGCTCTTGCACGGCAGCTGCACCATTTCACGCTCCCACCAGCAGCACATGAGCGGGGGGGTCAATTTCTGTACATTCTCACCAACACTTGTTATTTTCTGGTTTTTTGACTCTGACAATACTAGCGGCTGTGAATGGTACCTCACTGTGGTTTCGATTTGCACTTCCCTGATGGCTAATGATGCTGAGCATGTTTCATGTGCGTCTGGGCTTTTCATGTACATCTTCTTTGGAAGAATGTCTGTTCATATTCTTTGCCCATTTTTAATTGGATTATGTCTTTTTATTGATGAATTGTAAGAATTCTTTCTGTACTCTGGATCTAGACTCTTACCACATAGTGATTTGCAAATCTTTTCACTTTCTTGATAGTGTCCTTTGAAGCACAAGTTTTTTTTTTTTTCCTTTTTGTCTTTTTTACTGACCGGTACCGGGATCGCAACCCTCGGTGTCTTGATAGTGTCCTTTGAAGCACAAGTTTTTTTTTTTTTCCTTTTTGTCTTTTTTACTGACCGGTACCGGGATCGCAACCCTCGGTGTCTTGATAGTGTCCTTTGAAGCACAAGTTTTTTTTTTTTTCCTTTTTGTCTTTTTTACTGACCGGTACCGGGATCGCAACCCTCGGTGTCTTGATAGTGTCCTTTGAAGCACAAGTTTTTTTTTTTTTCCTTTTTGTCTTTTTTACTGACCGGTACCGGGATCGCAACCCTCGGTGTCACGCCCGTACCGGGCACCGGCAACAGGATCGCAACCTCGCAACCCTCGGGTTTGCGCCCGCACCGCGCTCAGCCAGTGAGCGGGAACCGGTCTCCACATGGGATCCGAACCCTCGGCGGGAGCGCCGCCGCACTCCCAAGCGGCGCACTCTCCAGTGCGCCACCGGGCTGGCCCAGAAGCACAAGTTTTTAATTTTGATGAAGTCTGGTTGTCTATTTAGCCGTCTTTCTGGACTGCTTCCTTTGATAACCTTTCTTCTAAGGTACAGGAATGAACACAGTTTGCATAATCGTTTTTACAGATAGAAATCGTAGAGAGTAAGTCAACTCTGGGTAGCAGAAGGCTGCCTACTTAAGGACCCAAGCCTCTTTTTATGTTGATGTTTTTGGATGGCATTGTCCGTAAAGGACACATCACCTGACCCACTGTCATAGTCCGTTTCTGTTGCTTATAACAAAATACTTGGAACTGGGTAATTTGTAAGAAAATGAAACTTACTGCTTACCGTTTCAGAGGCTGGGAAGTCCAGAGTGCAGGGAACACATCTGGTGAGGGTCTTGGTGGTGGCAACAGTGAGCCAGCAGTCTCACAGGTAGTAAATGGTGGAATGGAGAGAGAGACGTGCCTCCTTTTGGTTTTACTTACTCACTCACTCACTCACTCACTTATTTATTTATTTACTTTTTGAAAAGATGACCAGTAAGGGGATCTTAACCCTTGACTTGGTGTTGTCAGCACCACGCTCTCTGAAGTGAGCCACGGGCTGGCCATATTTATTTTTTAAATATGGAACACTTCACAAACTTGCACATCATCCCTGTGCAGGGGCCATGCTAATCTTCTCTTATCGTTCCAGTTTTAGAATATGTGCTGCCGACGTGAGCACAGCACAACGTGCTCTTCTTCCAAAGCCCTCAGAACCACGCCCCTGACCACCATTTTTAATCCATTCACTACTGCACAGTCCTACAATCCAGTCACCTCATCAAGGCCCCACCTTCTAATGACCATAATAGGATTTCCTACGCTCAGCAGTTACAGTGGGGATTAAGCTTCTAATATATGAACTTTGGGGGACACAATTCCTTTAATCCACAGCACCCACCTTCTTAGACACAGCACCCACCTTCTTAGTATGCAGCCCAGGTGCCCTTGTGGTGCTCTGCCATCGAGGCCATTCTCCCTGTGCTCAGTGGCCGGGCTGCCCCACCCTCTGTGGTCTCGTGCCACCCTATCTCTGCAGGGTGCTGCCAGGGCATCAGTTGGGGCAGCCTCTTTCCAGCATCCGGTGTGACTGCTCCTGATCTGCCTTGGATTGTGAGAAGCGTGTGGCTGAGTCCCCAGGGTGGTGCAGGAGTTTGTGGGCAGGAGTTCGTACTACCTGTTCTGGTCACTGCAAGGCCTCTCCTGCCTCCTCCTGGACTCCTGGCTGAGTCGTAGATGATCCGCCCCTGCCCAGCTCCAGCACGAGGTCCTGCTGGCTCAGCCCCTGACGGGAACCAGCAGGCCCCTCTGGGTGGGGCACCCATGGCTGCTGTCTTGGGATCCTCCAGCTCCTTCCCGCCCATCCTTCCTGAGGCTGAATCTCAGGTGACAGCCTGGCTGTCCTCTCCTACCCCTACAGGGCCTGGGATTTGCTGCAGTCCCATGTCCTGGGACTCCACTGCTGCAGTTTGAGGCTGTGGGGTCTGTGCTGCTGCTTGAAGCCATCCACAGCCCCTTTTCTTCTCTTGGGTGGGATCTCTTTATTCCCAGTATGCACGGGCTGGCCTGGGGCTCCCCTTAGAGTGGGTTCTCCCTCCCTGCTGTTAGAGAGTCCATGGTGGGCTCACCTCAGGCCTGGTAGCTGTGCCCATAACTTGTCAGCCTGTCCCACTGGGGGCGGTGGTGCTCCTGGGTTTAAGCGACCTTAGTTTTGTTTCCCCCAATGCCTAGTTGTCCCCTGCCAGGATCGGCAGACCCCTCCTAGTATCCACTGCCTGCTCCCAAATCCAAGGTTAAGAGAGCATTTGACTTTGTCACCCTCTGACTCCTGGTGGCCAGGTGTAGAGCGGGAGGGACAAATAAAGCCCCACAGAAAGCAAGCCCCAATTGGGCTTTTTCTTCAATGTGTTGCCTTTGAGAAATCCAGCCAGTCCTCTCTGCACAGCAGTGCAGAGCCCTCAAAACGACTGTGCATGTTGAAATTGTACAAACCGAGTTTAGTAATCCGTGGAGAAATAATGATGGTTCCAGATCTTTAAAAACTTTTGTCAGAACATTTAAAGGTCTCTGTTGGGTATAAATGTATAGAGAAATGAGAAAGATAGTAAAATGAATATTTATTTAGTACACTGTAATTTAAAACACTAGGAACATTGAGAAGTGTTTTATTTCTTTGTAAAAAACTTATCAAGAGAATAAAAGAAAAAGTAAAACTTATCAAGAGTAGTTTGAACAGTGTTTTCCTGTCAGAGCCTGTTCAGAGAATCACTACTATTTATTTGTTTGCTGGCACTTTCATCTTTTGGCCAATTCCTCTTTCGCTTACCCATTTTTATAGACCCTCGTGTGGATTGATCGCTGGGAGACCAGGAGGCAGCACAACTACACGCTTTGCTGTCTGCCCATGAACTGCACAGTAGGTGCTCAGGGACCAATCACAGGCCAGCTTTGAAGGAAGTGATTTGATTGGTCACTGATCATCATGCACATCTGTTACCTATATTGTGATTTGTGGGCTGGGGAGCTAGCAGCAGATACCGTACTTGATGCTCATGTGCCCTGGGGACTGAAATTTGGACTGTGCTGTTAGGTGACTAGTGTTATTTAACTAAACCATGGGAACAGAAATGTATGTGTATCGGAACCATGCAAAGTGAGGACTGTCTGTAATTCAGGACTTGCAAGGAAGTTTTCCTAATGGGAATAACAACCAAAAAATTAAGATTTCTGCTGTATTTGGTTCAGAACATAAAGACTATCGGTGATGTTGAGTCTTGGTCCTTGACACTGACAGCACCTGTGTCTTTAATCTGTGGTTGGGGGCCGAGCCCGTGGCGCACTCGGGAGAGTGCGGCACTGGGAGCACAGCAGCGCTCCCGCCGCGGGTTCGGATCCTATATAGGGATGACCGGTGCGCTCACAGTGCTCACTGGCTGAGTGCGGTGCAGCCGGTCTCAAAAAGGACAAAAAAAAAATCTGTGGTTGGCGTGGAATGTGACACTCTCCCTTCTCTCAGCTCCTGGAGGTGCAGTGGGAGGAACTGTCAGCATTGAGTGTCAAGGACACGGTTCAGATTCTCACTCTTGTGTAATGTGTGGCCTTGGACCAGTCACTTGATCTCTCTGGGCCTCTCTTGCCTCCCCTGTAGAAGGGGAGCCCCAATCAGTGCCTGCCGCTGGGTCGGTGAAGACTGAAGGAGCTTCTCTGGAGTAAAGGAGGAAACACTTGGGAAGACGCTCTGCAGGGGGAGGGAGAAGGGGCTGTGGGCATCTGCAGGCTCTGGGATTTGGGCAGGTGTTGGAGGCCCAGCCCTGCCAGGTGTCTGCTCAAGAAAGTGCGAGGCACAGCAGCATTCATTTTCCCTCTTGGGACCCCTCCACCTCCTCTTCTGTGAAATGGGTGGGGGGATGTGCTGGACGTGCAATCAGCCCCTTCACCACTGGGTCGGTGGGACTTGTCCACCCTCGTGTTGTTGGGCTGAACGGCTGGTCTCCTGCTGCCTGGGAGGCCCCCACCCCGGCCACCAGGTACCCCCATGCCAGCTCCATGTGGTCTCTGACTCAGTATCATCTCCCCTCCTGCCCACAGGCAGCTGCTGAAGACGGAGCTGGGGTCTTTCTTCACGGAGTACCTGCAGGTGGGTGGGCTTTGCTCTCCAGCCGGGCTGGGTGCGCTTCCTGAGCTATCCAGAAAGGACGGGGTCAACTGCTCTTGGTGGGCACAGAGCACTGGCTCCACGGCAGTCTGCCTGGGTTCAGAAGAAGTGCCTCTCTGTGACTCAGTTTCTCCATCTAGCCAATGCATATTGTCATAAAGGTTAAATGATAAGATGCAGGTGAAATCATAGCCTTGTGCCTGGCACATGGTTGGACCTGCAGTCATCCCTCCACCCCTCCCAGAATGTTCACAGACGTCATTTGGTGCCATGAGCACAGCCCAGTGCCATGGGCAACATGGTGACGGTCGTAGCCGTGGCATCAGCATCACCCCAGGCCTCTGTCCCAGGCACATAACATTTGTTGTGCCCTGTGTGGCCAACAGGCCTGTGCAGTCGATGAGCACACAGGACCTGGGGCTCAAAGAGCTGAAGTGACCGGCCCAAGATCACACAGCCTGGGAGGGGCTGGGGCCCTGTGCACCACAGGGCATCTCATGCAGGCCCAGAGCAAGTGTCCCCTTGCCCAGTGGGTGGGGTGAGGATGGGCCTGCGGTTCCTCATGTCATATGGTTTTAGGGGTTTTCATTTATTTGTTTGGGGTTTTCTTGGTTTTTTGGTGGCTGGCCAGTACAGGGTCAGACCTGGACCTTGGTGTGTCAGCGGCACGTCTACCCCCTGAGCTAATGGCCTGCCCAGTTTTAGAGGTTTTTAAATTATTTCACAGCTTAATTGAAGTGAAATTCATATACTGTACTATTCACTTATTTAAAGCATATAATTCAGTGGTTTTTAGTGTATTCATAAAGTTGTACCACCATCACCACTATCTAATTCTGGAACTTTTTCATTACACCAAAAAGACACCCTATGCCCATTAGCAGTCGCTCCCCATCCCCTCCCTCCCCAGCCAGCAGCAGCCACCACCCTGCTTCCTGTGTCTGTGCATCTGTCTATGCTGGACGTTTCATATCCATGGAGTCACACAGTAGATGGCCTTGTGAGTCTGGTTTCTTGCACTGAGCATCATGTTTTCAAGGTTTGTCCACGTCACAGCATGACTCAGTACCTCATTCCTTTACATGGCCAAATAGTGTTCCGTTGTATGGAGAGACCACATTCTGTTTGTCCGTTTGTCTGTTGCTAGACACATGGGTTGTTGCCACCTTTTGGCAATTATGGGTCTTGCTGTCCCATGCTTTCATTCTCAGCCGAGATCCCCCAGGCAGTGTGCACAGGGCCCGTGGGGTGTGATGGTGGCCAGCAGGCCAGGCCTCAGCAGCTAGCCCCCCTCTTCTTCCAAGTCCTCCTCTTTCACCGTGGGATGTACAAGGCAGCCCACCTGCCTGGCTCAGCCCAGTGCAGGAGGCTCCAGGCTCGGCCTGTCTCAGAGGATGTTCCTGCAGCCCCTCCTGTCTTGTGACAACCCCAGAGGGGGTCAGTAGTTGCCTCCCAAGGTAAGCTGAGGTTCAAGCCATGCAGCAGGTGGGCTGCGGGACCTCGGCGAGTTGCTTGCCCTCTCTGGGCCTCGGCTGCTTGTGGGTGGACTCTTGGGGGCCCTGCTGCCAGCCAGGACAGCCTGGGGCACCCACAGGGCAGCGACAGCACCTCTGTGTTTACCTTCAGAACCAGCTGCTGACGAAAGGCATGGTGATCCTTCGGGACAAGATCCGCTTCTACGAGGGTGAGTCTGGTGGTCCCGTGGCTCGGACCATGTGCAGGGCCAAGCCTCATGCTGGCTTGGCTGCTGGGCTTGCTGGGCATGGTGGCTGGTGCCACAGGACAGTGGCACAGCAGGTGTGCGTGCTGAGAATCACGGCCCTGCCAGGACCTCCTGGGGCTCTGGGTGGGAGGCGTGGTTCTCTAGTCAGGGTGGCTTGGAAGGGCCAGAAACAGCCCCAGGGGTAACAGGGCCAAGATACGTGCCTGAGGGGACCTTGAGGAGAGAGTCTGCCCCCAGCCTTGTTGGAGCCCAGGAGAGCTGTGAGTTGTCAAGGAGAAACCCCCGTTCCTCCTCACTGCCTGTCGCACCCTCTGGCCTTGGTGAATCCCACCCAGTGGCCTGTGAGAACCCCCGTCAGGGCCTTTGAGGATTGGAGAACTGGTTTAGGGCAAAGGCCCTGGTACTCAGAAAGGAAGGGGCAGGGGCAGCGGGCCATGCCTTGAGGGAGCCGGTGTCCTGAGCTTGGCGATGGGTGTTCAGGTGAGTTTTCTCTTTTCATGCTCACACCCACTAAATGAGGCCCTTTGGGTCATTGTTCCCAAGTGGGGACGACAGTGATGACAGGTGAGTTGTCCTTGGCCACGCGATAGATGAAGGGCGGAGGCAGGACTCGAACCCAGGTCTGCCTGACTCCACACCCTTTGCCCTCCGGTAGGCCCCCGAGGTCCCAGCTGGCCTCCCTGCCTGGGTTGGGCCTCAGCACGTGGGCAGAGAGCCGGGACCGCCTGCCAGGAAGCGCTTCCTTGCAGGAGTGAATTGGCCTAAAGAAAGGCCAGATGACGGGAGGACGCAGCTCACACCGAGCCTCGTTTGCGAGGGCCTGCCTGTGCGAGGCGCAGGGCGTGTGCTCGCTGTGCTAGTCTGTCCTGAGTGCTTTACATCTGCTACCTCATTTCATCCCAGCAGCCCTGTGAAGGAGGCACCATTGTTATCATCACTGAACATATGGGGAAACCGAGGCACAGAGAGGGTCAGTATCTCCCCCAGGCCATATGGCTGCCATGTGGCAGAGCCGGGGTACAAAGCAGGCAGCGGCTCTCGAGCCCACACTCTTCCTTCTGCTGCTCCAGCTTCCTCCTCAAGGCCTCACTCTGACCCTGGAAAGAAGGGATGTTAGCCCGTTTCACAGAGAAGCAGACTGAGGCCTGGGGGCCAGGTGTGCGCCATGTGAACTTGGAGCTGCATGTCCTGTGTTCCTTTCTCACTCCACTGTGCACATTGGGTGGGACCAACCAAGGCCAGAAGCATGAGAAGGGCTGTGAGAACCATCAGACCAGGCAGGGAGGCACAGGCAGGCCGGGATCTGGGATGGCTTCCTGGAGGAGGCAGCATCTAAGCCAGCAGGACAGAGCCATGAACATTTGGCACCTGTGCCCTCCCACAGCCCTCTCCTGACTCAGCACAATCCGGCGGTGCCTGCGCCGGCCACCCTCCCACCAGCTCCAGCCCAGGAGTGCTGGGGATTGTCAGAGAAGGGGAGTTTTGTGTGTCCTCGTGGACCTGTGCCTGAAGCAGCCAGGGCCTCCCAGTGGGAGCGCCTGCCCAGCGGAAGGGGCAGAGGGCAGCCCTGGGGAGCGCCACCTGGGGGCTCAGCATCCCCCTCTGCCTTGCCAGCCCCATCCAACCTCCCTGGGACTCAGGGACAGGCACGGAGCTCCAGGCTGGGAGTCAGGAGCCCCAGCCTCCAGGGGGGCTCCATGAGGCCACAGACTCATCATTTCCTCTCTGGCCTCAGTGTCCCCATCTTAGTACTGTGCGGCTGGATGGGTTCCATCCCCATGAGTACTCACTACGTGCCAGGCTCCAGGTGGCCTCTGAGGACCGGGAGATGGAGGGGACCCAGGCCCTGCCCTGTAGGGACTCACAGCCCATTTGGGACACAGACATGGACCAGATGGTGACAGTCCAATGTCATGAATAGTAGGGCAAAGGGAAGCCCTTCGGAAGGACGGGTTAACTCTACGGTGGCAGGCAGGGAGGGCTGCCCGGAGGCAGTGGCCCTTGAGTAGGGCCTCAGAATGTGTTCTGTTCAGGAGGATGTCTGGCCCCTTTAGCCCCCATGCAGTGGGGACAGTAACCCACTTGACCCCCCCGCAGGGCAGCCTCAGGAGCCTCCCCGTCCTACCCACACCCGTCTGGGTCCCAGTGAGAGCTCTTCACCTTGAAACTGCTCCCTGTGGCCAAACACGCCCTCAGCCCATGACTGTGCCAGAGGGGGCGGAGGGAGGTGGACCCCGTATGGGGCAGCAGCCCCTGGACCTGGCTGCCTGCCCGTTCTCTCCAGCCTCCTGTGAGGCCTTGGACTTCAGCCTCCCAGCAGGGCAATTCCAGGAAACGGACAGCATGGAGGAGCAGCCCTGGGGCAGCGGGCTCCCTCCCTGGGAAGGGCGAAGGCTGGGCTGCATCTCCGGCTATGGTCTGATGGGCTCCAGCTGCAGCCCCCCAGCAGCTCCTCTGAGGGGGGCCTGTGGTCTGCCGGCTGCAGGCCCTGGCATCTGCCATCTCTTGTCCACCAGGACCCTGAACCTGGTGTAGGTCATGTGACAAACTGTGCCACCAGTGGCCTTTGCACACTTGTCTCCATGTCTGTGCCATGGCCGTCCCCTGCCACACACCCTTGGCCTCCGCTCCACCAGAGCCCTGCTCGTGGCCTTTACCACCACCCCGTGGTCATCACCGACCCTGGGTCTCCCTGAGCTGTGACATTTGAGCCAGGGGTCAACCCAGTTTGTTCCTCTTCTGGGGCCTGCACAATCACCTGCAGCACCCATGGACTGAGTAAAGGAGGAGAGAGAGATGGACGACACTGACCGCCCCCAGGGTGAGATCCAGCCACAGCCCCACGTGGGCTGGCTGCATGCAGAGTGTCAGCGCCTGCCACAGCCGGTCTGAGCCCAGGCACAGCCACCTGCACACCCCCCATGTCATGTCAGCAGCAAAACTGATCCTATTTTATCCCTGCCTTTGTGGGGTGTTTATCCACCCATTTTACAGAGGGTACCACTGAGACTCAACTTGAGGAACTTCCCTGAGGTCCCACAGCGAAGTGCAGAGGGGGTTTCAACTCCGTGCCATCCAACTCTGTAACCCCCAACACACCCAGTGCTCCCCAGGTGCTTCCAGATGACAGTCCCTGGCAGAGAACCCAGCCAGCAGACAAGGCTATCCTTACTGGCCCCTTGGTCAGTGTGTGGCTCTGGCCGGGGCTTGGAGTCTGTGTTTTACAACCTCTGCTTTCCGTAGCATTTCCGCCCCGTGGGCTGGAGAATCGCCTGCACTCAGCAGAATGCGGGCCTGGCCGGTGCCCAGAGCCACCCCACGACCGGCCCAGGGAACTGAGCTGCCTTTCTTCCTGCCGCAACGGTGGCAAGGAACTGAAGGGACTTTGTGTGCAGCAGTTCCGCAGGGCAGCAAGCATCCGCCGTCCCAGGCATTCCTGCCCACTCCCGACACCCACGGAACCAGGTGTGGGCCACCCAGGGAGCCAGGAGTGCAGCAGGGGGCAGCAGCTGGACCACACACAGGCCAGGCTGTCCTGGGCCCCCTGGGGCTGCTACTGGCCAGGCTCCATTCCCAGTGCCCTCGATGCGTGCCAGTGCCTGCCCTCCCTGGGACCCAGCAACCCTTCCTTCTAGCTCTGCTCAGCGCAGGCAAAACAGCCAAGGGTTCCGCACATTGCATCTCACAGTGGAGCCCAGAGCCAGCTTGGGGCACCTCAGCTGTCCCCGTCCCCCAAGGGCTGCCCACCCGGTGGATGGCACCACTCCTCCCAGGGCTGGCAGAGGTGCCACAGGGCTTTTCACATATCTGCTTTAGAGGTTCACATGCCAAGATGTGCCCCCCATGCCATCAGTCTGGCAAGCCCATCCCCTGTATCCAGCCCAGACAGCACCTCCTCCAGGAAGCCCTCCCTGTCTAATCCTCCGCCCTTTCTCCTCTCCTCCTACCTTGTGTGGTGCTGCTGTTGGGCATGATCTCCCTGGCTCCCCAGACCTCACCAGCGGCCGCCTGGAGCGGGATGGCCCTGGGCCCTTGAGGGGGAAGACTGAGACTGCAGCCAGGGGGGCTAGCGGTGGCACCCCTCCTCCCGGTGGCTTGGTCCCTTTGTCTGCTCAGTGGAGGTCACCCCTCACTGCTGTCCTCATAATTGCTGTTCAGTGTCCTGCTTCCCTGTCATGTGATGGGTCTGGGGCTGTTTGGGGCTTGGCTGGGTCCCCAGTGCCTGGCATCAGGCCTGGCACAGAGAGGGTGCTTTGCAAATGTTGGTCGGAGGGACGGAAGAATGGACAGGCTGGGGAGTGGGAGGCTGAATTCCTCAGGCGCCTGGCAGAGCCGTTAAGAGTCTGATGAGACTAGGCTGTCGCTGAACCATGCGGGGTGCACCTGTGTTGGCTACTGCATGACAAGAGACGGTAGTGGCTGCTGGCATTTCCCAGCACAAACTCCGTGCAAGCACCCCATGGTGTAGTCCCTTTCCATGCCGCCAGCTCCGGGAGACTGGCCTGTTACGATGCCCTCCTGTTTTACAAATGGGGAGGCCAAGGTTAGCAGGCCACAAGCTGCCAAATGGCAGAGCTGGGCATCGGCCTCGGGCAGGCATCTCTCAGGCCCTGAGCCCAAACCGTCAGCTCTCATGTCCTCCTGCCATCCTGGGTGAGCCATTCAGGACGGGCGGTGACTGCTGCCCGTGCCCACAGGACAGAAGCTGCTGGATGCGCTGGCGGAGACCTGGGACTTTTTCTTCAGTGACGTGCTGCCCACGCTGCAGGCCATCTTCTACCCCGTGCAGGTGAGCAGCTGAGCGTGGGCAGTGAGGGGCAGGGAGCCCCAGCCTGATTCTAGGCTAGCAGGCTGCTGGCTGGGGGGGCATACCTGCTTTGCCCCTTGCTGCCTTTATGGCTGCCTGAGCCTGGGCACATCCCTGGACCTCTCAGAACCTGTTTGCACTCCTACAGGATGCAGATGAGGACATCACCCTGCCTCTAAACCTGGAGCCGTTAGGCTGGCCAGCTGGCACACAGTAGAGGCTCTGTGTGTGACAGTGACCTGTCCCTTGCTAGGGGAAGCAGAAGGGGTCTTCTCTCCTTGGGGCAGGGGTCATCTGGGGGAGACAGGGTGGAGGGGTCTGAAGGCCCACAGGTCCATTCCCGTGTCAGGCCCCAGAATGGGGGCGGGGAGGGGGCGAAGCTACTCGTGACAGCGGTGCCTTCTGTGTCCACAGGGCAAGGAGCCGTCGGTGCGCCAGCTGGCCCTGCTGCACTTCCGGAACACCATCACCCTCAGCGTGAAGCTGGAGGATGCGCTGGCCCGCGCCCACGCTCGCGTTCCCCCCGCCATTGTACAGATGCTGCTGGTGCTGCAGGTGGGGAGGACGAGGGGGTGCTCATCACAGTGTCGGGGCGTCAGTGGGCCCAGGTCAGGCACAGGCACCCATGGTGTTTCTGGGATCAGGCTTTTCAGAGGCAGAGCCTGAGACGGGAATTTGGGGGCACATGACTTACGGATGGGGACCCGTGAGAGAGTGAGGCCAGGAAGGAGCCAGAAAAAGCTGTGGGTTCAGGGGAGAACTTGCTTCCCCCTGATCCCACGGCTGCCTATGGGGGGCTGGGCTTTGATGCTAACCCTTATCAGTCAGTCACTGGGGCCATGGATTCCCCCACCTACAGACACACCCACAAATGGTTCCAGACATCTCTGTCCAGGTGCCGCTCATCAGCCAGGACTGCTAGGAGGGGACCTGGGAGCTCTTAGCAGGCACATTCACGGCAGCTGCGGGGAGGGGTACCTGCCCCAGAAGCGGGGATGACGGCCACCAGTGGCATCCTCTGCACCCTGCTGCTTCCCCAGCACCTTACAGCTTGCTGGCTCATCTCACTGTCACAGGACAGCATAGGCACCGTCAGCTGCCCGATTTTGCAGGTGGGGAAATAGAGTCCTGCCTGTCCAGAGCTAACAAGGGCGGGATTCTGGCCTCATCCCGATTCTCACAGGCTCCAAAGCCCTCCTTGTTCTGAATCCCTCTACACACATGGAAATCCTTTAAAACTAAGGTCTCTGGGGTCAGTCCTGGGGGCACAGGGCACCCAGTGAGGATTCCAGAGCAAGGAAGAGGCTGCTGCGTGTGGAGGTTTGCAGGGTCGAGGGGGCTGGGCTGCGCTGAGTGGGAGGCCGGTGGTCCTCCTGGCAGCCAGGCAGGACGCCCCCTGCTAGTTGGATTATGAGAGATTTTAGGTCGGACCTGGCTGGGTTGAAGCTGGGAGCCTTGAGGGACCTCCTACTTGGCAGGGCAGGTGTGAGGAGAATGAGGGAAAGCAAATGTAAGGCAGGCAGCGCGGGCTGGGATTCCGATGCTGCTGAGAAAGTCACACCTTCATCCAGTGAACACCTGGGGTGGCGGCCGAGGCTGGGACGGTGCTGCCCCCTGCTGGTCACTGCCCTCATGCAGCCTCCTGGGCGTGGCCCCTCTGTCCCCAGATCATGCCCCACCACAAACCTCCACCATTGCCCTGCCCCTGCCCCACACCCTGAATGGCCTTGCCTGGTCTTTCAATGAACTTGTCTCCCGACCTTGTCCTAGTCTGCTGTGAACTTGGCCCCCACTTTTCAAGTCCCGAGTGGATCTGACATCACAGCTGCCTGCCAGTGTGTGTGGAGGACCTACTGTGCCCTGTGTCTCCCCCACAGCATCGCAGTTCCTTCTTGCAGCGTCCCAGAAACCAGGGCTCTGATCTCCCTGAGTGGCTGTGCACACAGATGACCCAGCCCTAGGGCCTGCATTTCGGCACCTGGGAGGGACATGACTTCATGCAGGTTAAGGGGAAAATGGCGCAAAGCTCACAAATGCCCAGCGCAGCTTAGTAAGAGTAGCTGGGGCCATCGTCGTCCCATCCGAGCCTCTGCTGCTGTGGCAGAGACTGTCCAGGGAAATGTGGGATACCCCCGTTAGTCTGGGTGACCTTACCGAGGGCACCCATGGAATCCCACGACCCCCTGCCTTGGAGCGGCCTGTCTCAGCACTGAGAACAGTGTCACTTCTTGCTGGCTTGACACTTAACATTTTACCTGAGTTTCTGGGCCCTTAACTTGCTGGCAGCCCCTTGAAGCCCACGGTCTTTCACTCATTCGTTCATTCATGCATGCATTCAGCAAGCACTCAGTAGACGTCCAGCCCTCTGCCCTGGTTCAGCCCACAGCTAAGTGAGCGAGACTGAGATGGGACTGTCCTGTGGCGGCCTCATTTCTCAGACTTTGGCTCTAATAACACTGGAGGTGCCTGTGATCCCTTTAAAACTCTGGAGGAGGGAGATGAGACCCGGCAGGGGAAGCAGCCTGAGTGAGGGGTCGGGAAGGAGCGTGTGGGGCACATGTTGGGGGGCGATTCTGCAGATGGGCCTGACCCTGTGTGGCAGCCTTTCCCGCCTACAGTGCTCCCGGAGCAAGGAGGTGAGTGCCGGAACCCGGGTGAGCAAGCCTGGCCCTCCATGGGTGAGGTCACCTGGCAGCTCCCGAGGGGCTTCCCCAAGCCTCTAGGATGCCAGTGCACAGGGGACCTCTCCGAGGGGTAGAGGGTGCAGGATGCACCCCTTATGTGGCCGCCAGGTCCTTTTCCACAGGCGTCATGGTCTCCCAGACCATAACGGCTGCCGGGTGCTGCCACGGTGGGTGTTGGAGCAGCACGGTGACTCAGGCCACCCGTTCTGAGGGCTGGGAAGGGAGGTCACTGTGGTCCTCCTGGGAATGGGGAGCAGGAAGGCAGAGGACAGGCTGTCTATGGACGGAACAGCATGGGTGAGGGTCTCGGGCTGGCAGGCTCAAGTGGGACCGTCCCTCGCTGTCTTGCAGGGGGTGCATGAGTCCAGGGGCGTGACTGAGGACTACCTGCGCCTGGAGACACTGATCCAGAAGGTGGTGTCGCCCTACCTGGGCACCTTTGGCCTCTACTCCAGCGAGGGGCCTTTCACCCACTCCTGCATCCTGGGTAGGGGTCACCTGGGCTTGGGCTGGGGCAGGGATGACCACCAGCCCCATCCACTAGTGAACAGATGGCCACTCTGAGGCCCCGCAGCTAAGTCATGGCAGAGCCAGGGTCCCCCTCAGGATTAGCTTTTCAGTTATACAGCAAGCCTGTCCTGAGCCTACACCAGCCCTGCTGCAGGCTGAGCTGGACACATGGAGATGGGGAACCCAGGGACAGACACTATGAACAGTGATGTGACAAGCCCCACAGAGGCCCCTGCGCTCCCCAGGATGTCACATCTGTGGAAGTCGGGAGTTGACCATGCAGAGAAATCCTGGCTCAGAGGACACGTGGGGAAGGAGGGACGGGGCTTGGGGGTGGGCAGGGCTGATACCTATGGAGGGGCGTACTGGGGCTGCCTGGCGTGCCCAGCAGAAGCCAGTCACGTTACTCCTCTGGAGGGCCTGTTGGTTCATTCAGCAATGTCATTAAGCACCTACCACACACCAGCCCCAGAGGCTAAGCCCCACCCTCACGGGCTCTGGTCCAGCAGGGGAGGCAGACCAGTGTGTCCCCAAGGCTACCGCTGAGTTGAAGGACAGGAGCCTCCTGTGCTGAAGGGACAGCGGTGGTACCAGAGCTACTCAGGAATGTGCTCCTAAACTGGAGTGACACTGCTGTGCCTACCTTCTGTCATGAAGCCCGCCCACTGAGTGTGTCTCAGCTCAAGCAGGGGCCCCAGCAGTTGGAGGAGAACTTTGTGTCTCCCAGGCTCCATGTGGCCCTGGATGATGGGACCCAGCCCCAGCGAGGAGGGACCCTCTCGCCTCCCAGTCCAGAAAAGGACCCTGAGCTGCTTGCTGCACTCAGCCCTGCCACCTGGTGGCCACTGTGGGGAACTGCAGGGTCCTGAGTGGGAGCCTGAAACCTACCCTCCACCCAGTGTCCTGCCCACATGACCGGAGGGGTCTCCCAACTGGGTCCCCAAGTGTACCCTTGCCCCCTGCCGTCTATTACTCTCCACACAGTGGCCAGCAAGGCCCATTTACAACTGCCCAGTCATGGGCTTCCTCCACACTCAGAATAAAATCCTAGCCCTGACCTTCCATTGCAGCATTACCACCACCTGACCTTGGGGCTCACCTGTGCGGGCCTGCTACCCTCCCCCGCATGACACCAGCCCACAAGGGCAGGGGCCAGGTCTACCTAGGGAAGTGCAGGCACCTAGCAAATGCCAAGATTTTCAGACTTCCACAGGTGGGGAAACCGAGGCACAGGGAAGTTACATAATTTACCCAGGGTCTTACACAGGTCCCTGGCAAGGTGCAGATTCAGACCCAGGCAGCTGACATGAGGCCCTGGCTGTCCAGGCTGAGGCTGGGACCAAGAAGAGGAGGACCCATCAGAGCAGAGGCCAAAAACCCACATCCCTCTCACATCAGGCAGGGGCCTGCGGGGCTGGGCCCAGAACCCACATCAGCAGGCCTTACCCTGCAGCTGCTCTGCACGCAGAGTTAGGCACTCAACAGGTAGCACCTGCCCAAAGGTAGAGCCTGGTGCACGGAGGCGCCTAGGTGTGCGGTGGGGGGCAGCAGTGCCCACAGGCCTGGCCTCTCTGCAAGACGCCCTTGTGACTGTTGTGTCTCTCTCCAGAGAAGCGCTTCCTGCGCCGCTCCCGCTCAGGGGACATCCTGGCCAAGAACCCAGTGGTGCGCTCCAAGAGCTACAACACGCCGCTGCTGAACCCGGTGGCAGAACATGAAGCTGAGGGCACGGTGGCCGGCGGCACCAGCATCCGCAGGCACTCCGTCTCCGAGATGACGTCCTGTCCTGAGCCCCAGGGCTTCGCTGACACACCCGGCCAGGGCCCTTCAGTGACCTTCAGGTCCTCCCCAGCACCCCACACGGGGCCCTGCCCCAGCAGACTGTACCCACCTACCCAGTCCCCCGAGCAGGGCCCGAGCCCAGCCCGCAGCTCCCCACCCACCTCCAGCCCCGAGAACCTGGTGGACCAGATCCTGGAGTCCGTCGACTCGGATTCCGAAGGAATTTTCATTGACTTTGGCCGGGGCCACAGCTCTGGCATTTCTGACTTTGAGGGGGCCGGGGGCCGGCAGAGTGTGGTGTGAGGGCCTCGTGGCTGGCCTGGCATTTTCACGGACCCGCATGTGTGCACATCCATGTGTGTGCGTGCGAGACTTTTTTACTCTGTCTCATCCTCGCCGGTCCCCTGTTGGCCTCGTCTCCGGCCGTGGTCACTTTATATTTCCAAGTCTTTGTTGGAAAAACCATCCGCCTACCCTGCTCGGTCCAAGTCCGTTTGGGGGCCATCTGAGCCAGCGTCGCCTGGTGCACAGGTCAGCCTGGTGGCATGGACAGGGACCTGCCTCCTCACCCACCCCAGCCCTCCAGTGTCCAAACCTGTCCACAGAGAATGTGAATCCGGTGGATTCTGCCTATGACTAGGCAGTAGACCTGTCCATCCCCCAACCACCCACCTCAGGCCACAGCGAGACCTGGGATTGGGGTGTGTGACCTTGCCCCAGGATTCGCCTAACAGCCTGTCCTCCCTCTGCCTGGGGTGGCCATGGGGACAGGAGGGGAAGAATAAAACGTGTCTGTCCGGCTCCCAGGTTCATGTCTGCAGTGCCAGGTCCCATGGGCATCTTTCCAGGGGCCTCCCCTCCCCACTCCTGGAGAGGGCAGGTTCCTAGAGCCTGTGGCTGGGGGCCTTGGTGGAGGGGGAGGGAGGCCCATGGACACTGTCCAGGCCACAGATTTCTTTCTGTTTCAATTTCTCAGTCCCATCCTGATGGAAGGGCTGGAACACTAGGGTGGGGTCTGGGTACAGGTCACAGGCTCTGCTGCAGGGGGTTTGGCCTCTGACTTTGCCCCAGCATTAGCTGGGATAGAACCTCTGAAGCTGAGGAGAGAGGGAGGGATGGGGGATACCTGCTGAATGCCTCTTGGCCTGTGGGGGACACACTAACTCCTGCTCTGACAGAACCTGCAACCACACTGCCCCCAGACAGGTTTCCCCCGAGGCCTCAGCGGTCAGGATGTCCCATTCTGGAAGCATCTGGACAGGGGCTGCTCCCTGCCCCCTGGGTGAGTGGAGATCAAATGTTCCTGAGAGCTGGCAGGGTTGCCACAGGCCAGCCAGGCACCAAGGGCACCCTGACCCCTGACAGGGCAGAAGCCGTGCCCAGGGCAGGCTTCTCTAGGCCCCTTTTTAAAGGGCCAGGGATTGGTGTGGCCTCTAGGGGGAGAGAGTGGGTGGAGTCTCTTCTGGTCGGGGCAAGAGGGCTTTTCTGCACCTGTTCCACCTGCTGACCCAGGCAGGGGTCAGCCAGGCACCTACGGAAGCAAGAGTGACCCCCAACCCCAGAGGAACTGGGCTCAGGGTCTGACAACCGCTCAGCTCGGCTGATGGGGCCCAGATCCCTGAACCTCCTTGTCTCCCAGTTCCCTCATGGAATTCGGGATGGGCTGGGAGCCAACTAATCCCAGGTTGGGGATTTCAGGTGGCCGTTATCAAGGTCCCCGGAGGTCACTTTTATTATTTTTTTTTATTATTTTTTTTTCCTTTTTGTCTTTTTTCGTGTCCGGCAACGGATCGCAACCCTCAGTGTCGCGCCTGTACCGGACCGGGACCGGCCACGGGATCGCAACCCTCAGTGTTGCTCCCACACCTCGCTCAGCCAGTGAGCGGGAACCGGTCTGTATGTGGGATCCGAACCCTCGGTGGGAGCGCCACCACACTCCCAAGCGGCGCACTGTAGCAGTGCGCCACCAGGCTGGCCCAGCCCCCGGAGGTCACTTTTAGGCAGAAGGACCAAAGGGACAGAAGCCATGGCAGGGAGCTGACTGTCCGGGCACTTCCCGCAGCAGGGTGCTGGGCCCTCTGTCCTCCTACCAGCCCCAAGTGCTGGGGGCTGCATCATAGATTTGGGTACCCCCTATTAAGCTTCTGGGCCCCTGAGGGCTGCTGGGCCTGGTCTGATCCCATGGGACTCTGGTGGCACCTGCTGGCACTCTGGCCCATAGCAAGGCAGTGCCTTTCCTTGGTGGTCTCTGAGCTCTCTGACTAATCCTCTAGACACCAGGCAGCAGTGTCCACACCTACAGATGGGAGGTGGGCACGGAGCCTGGTCCCGCAGCAGGGCCCTGAGGAAGCGAGGAGCCCGCTCCGGCCAGGGCTGCACCGCGGCCCCGTAAAGGAGCAGCCCGGCAAGGGGCTGTGAGTGCATCTGTGAGTTAGACCCACCTTGTTCTGAAAAGACTTCTAAGCTGATCTCTATCAACGCATCTGGGTGTAAATTGTAAATGAAAAACCCAGACCGTGGAAAACATAAGTTAGAATAGAAGACCAGCTGTCACAGGCCCCAGGTCCGACAGAACCTTTCACCAAGACTTGAATGCTTTGGTCTCTTGCAGCAACCAGACCTTACAATGGAGGTCATGTCACTGAACGTGACTCCTTTTGGCCACCGGCATGCTTGGGCCGAGTCCCAAGCTTCCTGTGGCCCACATTGTGGCCCTCTACTCCTGCATCTGCCCTCCCCCCCACCCCTCCTGAGTGTCCTCTGTCCCAGCCCCAAACCACATCCAGTGTCCCCACCCACTCTCCTGCTGTCTGAAATTTGAATTTGCAGGTACAAAAGGATGCCTAGCCAGAGGCTTGTACCTTGTGGGAGGTTTTCTTTAAAAGAGTGGAGAGAAACTGGTTTCAACCAGTTGTGGAGAAACTCAAGCATTTGCAAATATGAAACATTCGAGCACAAGGCCACAGTGCTCCTGGGCCAGGCTGTGGAAGAAGGGACCCAAGCCCTTGGAGAGGGGCTGGAGGTTTTAGCTTCACGAGCTCTTGGGAAATCCACCCCTGCAAGAGGGAGTATTCAAGCATGAAGTTGTCTCCCTCATGGGAAGGCCAGCCCCAGGGGCGTCCCTTCCTCTCCCACTGGATCACCAGATACCCTGACGTTTGTTGTTTTGTTTGGCACTGGCCAGTTTGGGGATCTGAACCCCTGACCTTGGTGTTATAACACTGACATCATTGAACGAGTGAAATAATTGGTTAATTAGTTGATTATCGGTTGCTCTATCATCAGCACCCTCAGGGGACTTCTCCAATGGGGCTGTTTCCTCTGCACCTCCAGAGCTGGGGATAGAGAAACTTTTACTGTTTTTGTCTTTCGTGTGTCTGCGTTAAGTTCTGAGGGGAGTCTCCTGAATGCTCCACCCCTGACCTCGCAGGTGCACCATCTCAGGCCCTGTGGACCCTGAATCTGCATTTCAGCCAGATCTTGGCTGATTCCCTTCAGGAGCAATAAATAGGGCGCTGTCATCTGCACCAAACACGGGCTGCCCTCTAGTGTTGGAGGCAGATGTTCCAAAAGCCCAGAATGAAAAGTCCTGCTAAGCAAACGGTCCCCAGGTCAGGTCACTCCACTTCATTCCTGCTGGACTCTCCTCCTTGGCCCCCTGCCCTGGCCTGCCTAGGCTGCCTCATCTCCCAGAGACCACAGCAGCTTCGGAGCTCCTGATCCATGCCCCACTCCTCCAGCCGGGTCAGCACTGGGCGGGCAAGCACCAGCTGCCTCTTGCCCCACACGGAGCCCCTCACTGCGCCAGTGCCTCTGGGGTAGAGGATGCACATTGCAGCCTGGTATGGAAAACCATTCATGGAGACGGGTCAGCTGGCCTCGCCGCACCTGGCCCCTCCCCCGTGCACATGCACACACCTGTGCGTGCACACACGTGCACAAGCTCACCTTCAGGCCCCTCACCGTGTCGGCTCCGTTTTCTCATTCTCTGTTCACTTTCCCTGCACCTGGAATGTCTGCCTGGCAGACTCCTTTCTTCTGAGCTCTCAGGGTACCCTGACCACAAAATGCACCTTGGTCCCTCTGTGGGGAGCATTGGCCACCCCTCCCCGAACCCCCTCTGTAGGGCCCGTGAGCCCTGGAGGGCAGGCTTGTGCTGATCCCTCTGAAGACTTGGGGCGTTCATGGCAGAGGATTCCTTTTACGGGCGCATGGAGGGATGAGCAGGGACCAGAAGGGGGGTCCCACGTTCTGGGCAGGGGAGCAGCCCAGACAGGAACATGGACTGGGAGGTCTCAGAAGTTCTTTCCTATAAAGGGGCCAATTCATTGATTCTTAAGTTTGCAACAAGAACAGTGAATGTCTGTAAATGTGTCTGGTGTCACCTGAAGGGTGTTCATCTGTGTCTCTGATTTGTGTTTCATTTGGTTTAGGCCACTGTGTTCTCCCTCTGCCACAGCAACAGGGAGAAGGAAAAGCACGGGAGGCCACTGACCCCACTTTACACCCAGGAAGCCAGAGGCAACCCCAGCTACTCCTGAAACTTCTCCCACCTTGTTGCTGGAAGGCTCACTGTCTTACCCGCACAGCGACATTAGCACATTCGCCAAGGTCTGGGCTATTCAGTCATATCCCTCACACGTACACTCTCATACACACGCGTATGTACACATACACACACGCGTACATACATTTCACATGCATGCACACTTGCACACAAATACGCAATCACACAAATACATGATCACACAATCATACGTGCTTGCACACACACACACACACACACACACCCCTTCACACTCACACACACACAGCCCTGGAAGAGCAGCCTCCCTGTGTCACCCCTGGCGGGTTTCCTGAACAGGAGGGTTGTGAGTCCTCACGCCACCTCCCGTCTCTCCAGACAGCCACCTCTGAATGCCATCTGACCAAAGACACAGAGCAGCAGGTATTGGAGGCTTCTGCCTGCATTTTCTATAGCCCTGTGTCTCAGCCTGGTCAGGCTGCCATTACAAAGTACCGCAGAATGGGTGACTTAAACAACAGACATTTATTTGTCACAGCCACTGGAGGCTGGAAGACCAAGGTCAGGGTTTCGGCAGGATGGATTTCTTGGCGAGGGCCTCTCCTGGCATGCGGAGGGCTGTCCTCCTGCTGTGTTCTCACATGGTGGGGAGGGATGGAGAGAGACCTGGTTCTCTTCTTATAGGGACACTAATCCTATCAATTCGGGGCCCCACACTTCTGACCTTATTTAACCTTAATTACTTCCATAAAGACCCCATCTCCAAATACAGCCATACTGGGGATTAGGTGAATTCAGCACGTGAATTTGGGGGTACACAACTCAGTCCGTAGCACCTTGTGAGTGACAGGCCCGTTCCTCAGGCAGCAAGACCCCTAGGCCCATCCCAGAAGCCAGAAGAGGGTCTTCATGGGGGCCAGGAGCCCAGCCCAGTCACGTGAGCCTCCTCCCCACTGTGGCAGGCGAGGTGGTATTTAGGAAAACCCAGTCACGGTTGGCTGCCCGGTGATGCTGACTACACCCCTTCTGAAAGTTAACATTGGTTTAGGGGTGTGCGCGTGCACGCACGTGTGTGTATGTGTGTGCACGTGCTGGGGGGGGCACACTCCTCAACAGTTACCCGCTGGCAGGAGATCTCAAAAGCTGATGCCCTTGGAATGCCAATGCCCACCCTGGGGTGTCCTCTGAAGCACCCGCTTTGCTCCCGTGGCAACCTCTGGAAGGACTAATTCCGGTTTGGGGGAAGTTACCGCTGGGGCAGGCTGGGGCCCAGGAAT